ATGACTCAACAAAGAAATGGAAAGTCTGACTGATTAACAACTGTAGCTGCCAAACCTGGACAGCCCTTTTGTGATTTTCCTTTAACTTTGCCCTGTATGTAAAAAGACCCCTATGCTACCCCTACACATCCTGCTAAATCACCCCTTCTACCAACAACCACCACTACCATGGCCATACTAGAACACCTGGGTTGTATCCTGAAAATGCAAATGTAGAGCTGATGCCCATTTGATACAGAAAACAGAATATGGAAGAGGTTGGAATACATATGAAAAGGTATTTAAACTGCAGGAGGCCTATGTTTCTTTTCGGAAATCCTAATTTTAGTTATTTTGTTGCTCTTTCCCTTATTTTTCTTCTTTTTAACCTCACTCAGATGAAGAGAATGAAATGAAAAGAGCATCCCCTGAGCCTGAACTGCATCTCAGGTCTTACCAAATGGAAGTTGCTAAACCAGCCTTAGAAGGGAAGAACATCATCATATGCCTCCCTACAGGGAGTGGGAAAACCAGAGTGGCCGTGTACATTACCAAGGGTCACTTGGACAAGAGGAACGGATCATCTGCACCTGGAAAAGTCATCGTCCTTGTCAATAAGGTATTTGAATGATAAAATATAACTGTGTTAGCTTTCATTTTATTAATCTGAAACATTTAAATAACATTTGTGACAATAGATTACACAGATTTAGCTTAGTTAGGAGTTATGTCCGTGTAAAGGAGCCCTGGTGGCAGAATGCTGTTTAACCCAAAGGTGGGTAATTCCAACCTCCAAGGCTGGAGATCTTCTGCTGTAAAGATTTCAGCCTAACCCTGTGGGGCACTTTGATTTTATCTGTTGACCCTTAAGTCAAAGTCAGCCATGTCCTCTTTATCCAGAAAATAGTTTGGTTTGAGAATAAAGAGATAATTCATTCTCTGAACAACTAACACTGTTAAAAGCTCTACATTTATTCATCAGAATCTGTTACTCTGGAATTCCCACCCACTGGTTACAGTTCTTTCCTCTGTGACTATATGGAGTCAGTCTTCATTCTCTTGTATGACAGCCCTTCACAGAGGGAAGGCGGCATTATGGCTCCTAAGTTATTTTTCTATTTTTCCCCCTCAGGATAAATGTCCTCAGTTGCTTCCACATATTACATGGTTTCCAGACCTTTTATCTTCCTGAGTACTCACACTCTTCCACTCATTTATCTCAGGCTTATAATGTGGTGTCCAGAGCTGGACAAAATGCCATAGATATGGTCTGACCTTGTGCAGAGTATAGGAGAAATGAGCAGTGACACTCAGCCCATGACTGGATTGGCTTTTGGCATTAATGCTGGCATCCCATGGACTCAACTGGAACTTGCCGTGAACCTAAAAGCCTCAGATTCTTTTGATTTGAAACTATGTTAAGCTAGAACTTTCCTAACCTGTATTTGTGCAGTTATGTTTTGAGCCTAAATGCAAATACTTACATTTATTTCTTCTTATCATTCATATTGATTGATAATTCATGCTCTCATTTTTGTGTGTCTAACGTACTTTTTTCTTCTTCTTGTTCCTAACTCCTTCTTCTCTCAAAGCTATATTCTAGTCATGGACCTTCTGTCCCATCAGATATAGGTGAATTTTATGAATCAACTTTTACAGCCATGTTTAAGTGTCAGTTTATCATCATTAATTATTCATACTCATTTAAATGTAGTCTGGAAATTTGAAGATGTAAGTCTAATTCCTGATCTACTTTCTTATGGTTTTTCTCCTCAAGATTACTAGAAATCCCTCCACTAGTTCTTCTATCTATGCCATAATTGTTGTTTACTATCCCATTTCTTAATCATATTAAAGAAATTTCTGCTTTAATTCTTTTTAATTGAGTCAAAAACCTCTGGCCCAGTAAACCAACATAAACTGTCTTCTCTATTTGGCCCCATAGCAAGGTATTGTAGTTTGTGATCTAGAAAAAATAAATCCTGTTCCCTAATACTGTTTACTTGCATCTCCCTTCCTCCCTGCTTTCCATAGATGTAGCCTTCAGATGCAAGGAGAAATGAAAACACCACCTGTGTTCCCAGACCTTCCATTTCCTATCAAGGGCTTCAACATCATGAGAGAGAATTCCCAGGTTCCTTCAGATGCTAAAATGCAGCCCCATACGATTCAGCAGAAGTGGGTAGCAGTTGGGTTGATTAGTCTTGGCAGGCATTCTGTCACATCTCAGGAAAAGGCTCCAAAAGGACCACACACCTCCCAATTAGCCATGTCAGGCTTGCATATGGCTATCTTTGTGTCCTTCAATAGGAAGTCAACACCGCCCCCAGCGAGTATCAGGATTTCCAACACCTGTTACCTTCTGTGACAACTTCCTTTTGTTCTGTAGATCAAAGGATGCTGCTTCTTTGGAAGATCTTGACTCACCCTTTATGGGCAGAAATTCATGTCACTGTATCACAGGAAGGAACTGTTGTTATTATTATCCCCGACTTACGTATTAGGAAAATGATGATCTGAGACTTTAACTGATCAGTCAGCAGTAATGCAACCAAGAAACCGCAGAGCTGAGACTTGAATCTTTATCTTCTGACCTCCACTGGTCTTCTCTACATCATACTCTACTGCCAGAATAAAAGGATAGGTGGACTATCAGGAGTTTTCCGAGTGCTGGCAATATGCCAGGCTCTATTTCATTTAATATTCACAACAACCCTATTGTGTAGGTTAACAATGTTCTCATTTTATTAATTCAGAAATTGAGATGAGTAGTGATTAAGTAACTGGAAGGCCACACAACAAGCAAGTGGTTGCCGTAGCTGTTTTCAGAGGCTGATTTTATTTTCTCTGGATCATGCTACTTTTTTTCCTCAGTTTCATTTAATTTACTTTCTGCTCTTTTCCTCAGAATTTTTCTCTGTGACATCTTTCTCAGGTTATTCCCACTGTCTTTATAAGTGGAATGAAAAGAACCCATCTAGAAGACTGAACCAGGAAAGGGTTTGTGGGAAGGGAAAAGAGCTGTGGCTCTCAAATTTCAGAGGGCTTGACATTTGACTGCTAACCAGAAGGCTAGTGGTTCAAACCAACCAGCCACTCCTCAGAAGGAAGACTGGGCAATCTACTTCTGTAGAAATACCGCCTTGGAAACCCAAGGAGGGGTCGCTATGAGTTGGATCTGACTCGAAGGCTGTGAGTTTGGGTTTTTTTTTTTTTTTGATGTGTAACAGGAGATAGTTCATAAAATGGAGGTTTGGGGGCTCTGTCCCCAGAAATTGTCCTTAGATTCATTATTTTTTGGATAGGGTCCAGGAGTCTGCATTTTCCAAGTCTCTCAAGGGATTTTGTAGTAAGTAGATCATAGATCTTACTTTGAAACACACTAAATGAAAGTTTATCTTCTTACTCTTTGTAGTTCATGTTTTATTCTTTTATTCACTGACATTGATTACTCATTTAAGTCCACTTAGCATCCTTGGAAGGAGCCCTGGTGGTGCAGTGGTTAAGTGCTCAGCTGCTAACACAAAGGTTGGTGGTTCAAACCCACCAGCCACTCTGTGGAAGAAAAATGTGACCGTCTGCTTAATGTTAAAAACTGTATAAAATTCAACTGTGTATTACTCCTCTTTAAAAAAAAAAAAAAAATGACAGCCTTGGAAAGCCAATGGGACAGTTCTACTCTGTCCTATGGCGTTGCTGTGAGTCGGAATCTACTCAATAGCAGTGGGTTTGGTTTGGGTTTTGGGTTGCTTCCTTGGAATCTATGGATTTCATTTACCATCCTCCCACCATTCATTCTTAAAAGTCTTTGTTATTTCTACTAAATACCAATGCAAAGCAGTGTTCTTCATAAAGTATTTCCTCACCTAGCTAGATCAGCCAGTCCTTGTTTTACACACAATTAGGGCTAACCATGAGTAAAGGAATATCTGGGTGGTATGAATAGTTAAGTGTTCAATTACTGGCCAGAAGGTTGGTACTTTGAATCCACCCAGAGGATCCTAAGAAGAGAGGCATCGTGATATGCTTCCGAAAGGCCACAGACTTGAAAACCCTATGGAACACAGTTCTTCTCTACACACTTAAGGTCATCATGAGTTGGATTTGACTTAACAGCAATTAATAACAATAACCTTAAATAAAAGATGAATAGTACATATCCTGCAGACCAGTGGAAAGGCAACCACTAATAATGATCACATTATCAGGAATATAATGATCATTCTTTGATGCTTTGTGTTGAAATCCTACCTGCCAACTTTATTTGCTGCTCTATGAACTCCTGGCCTTCCATGTACTGTAGGACAGAGTAGAACGTCCCCCATGGGGTTTCTGAGGCTGTAAATCTTCATGGAAGCAGACTGCCACATCTTTTCCTGCAGAACATCTTTAACCACTACATCACCACAACTCCTTTCCATTGTACTAATCTTTCTAGGATGTGACCTACTAGTTGGCCTGACTGTTCCTTTCCCCTAATCCAGGAGGTATTCTAATGATGTTTAATACTGAGGTATGAACCCAGCTACCTTCAGTAGACAGTATAATAGTCAGCTGAAATGCCAAGCCTCTTTGTAGCTATTGTTGTTTTCCAGCAGTTTATTCATAGTCATCCCCTAGGCAATGTCTCAACTCCTAAATCTTAGTTTCCTATTCCCTCCAATCCTCGAGGAATTTGCCTCAGGCCCAACTCCACAATAAACAGCAGGAATAAATCACTACTACAACACAACACATAATGCTCCTTGTGAACTATTACATGAAATTTAAAATATTTTGCTTGGTGTTGATAGCCCTGACCCTGCTCTACAAATTAAAAATGTATTCTGAATATTCATTGAACCATCACTACATTATAAAAACAAAATCAGTTGCTGTAGAGTTGATTCCGACTCATGGTACCCCATGCATGCCAGAGTAGAACTGTGCTCCATGAGGTTTTTGGTGGCTGAGTTTTCAGAAGGAGATCTTCCACAGTGCTTCTGGGTGAAGTCAAACTACCAATGTAGCAGTTAAAATCAAAAACCAAACCCACTGCCATGGAGTAGGATTCTTGGGTTTCTGAGGCAGTATCTCTAGGGCAGTAGATTGCCCAACCTTCCTTCTGAGGAGTGGCTGGTGGGTTTGAACCGCCAGCCTTCTGGTTAGTAGTCAAAGCCTTAGGCACTATGCCACCAGAGCTCCATTTAGCAGTTAGCAACTGAGGATTAACCGTTTGCACCACCCAGGGACTCTCTAGGTTATAATTCTTTATAAACCCTTCTTTTTAGCAGTCAGTTGCTTCTTCCTCTTTGCTGTTATTTTCAAATGTTTCTTAAGAGGAATCATTGCCCTATGTTGTAATAATTTGTTCTGTTTATTTTATGTTGGTGTGTGTATCCACCTAGAGTGAATTACTCAAGGTGATCAACCATATCTTAAATATCTTTGTGTTCAGGCACAATGTCTAATGCCTAACAAGTATTCTAGAAATGTTCACTGACAGATACATGTTTAATATTTATTGACAGATGAATAATGAACTGATGGATAAGTAGTTATGCCTAATGAACTGATCATGTAAACAGTTCTATTAATGCATGCCAATAGTAGGCTTTGGTCAATACTCATTTTACCTTTTTTTTTTATTATTTTTTAAAATCTGGGTACTCTTTTAAAGGTACCCTTAGTTGAACAGCTCTTCCGTAAAGAGTTCAAACCATTTTTGAAGAAATGGTATCGTATTATTGGATTAAGTGGTGATACTCAACTGAAAATATCATTTCCAGAAGTTGTCAAATCCTACGATGTTATTATCAGTACAGCTCAAATTCTTGAAAACTCCCTTTTAAACTCAGAAAAAGGAGAAGATGCTGGTGTCCAGTTGTCAGGTTGGTTGGAGTGTTTCTTTTTACAAAAGAAGAATTAACAATAATATTAATGATATAGTAATGGAAGCTATAGTAAATAATTTAAAAGATGCTGATAAAGATGAAAAATCTTGCTTTAGATTTTCTTTCCTTGCTCTTTAAACCTCTTGTTCTATTGCTTAGGGGGAACAAACAAATAATTTGTTAAGTATTTAATTAGATCATTCTATATAGCAACCCTATCAGATTACCATGGTTAAATCAGTTACACATTGCAGTTCCCATTTACTTGTGCTATTGGATCTAGTTATATCTTCCTTCTTCTCTATAGAATAGAAATAATATTCTTTCTATTTTATGGAGGATGGGAAAAGAGGGAGAAAGGAAAGGAAGTAAAAATAAATATAATAATTAAATGCAATGTTAAAACAAGGCAAAATTATCTGTCTTTAAATAGTGTGGTTTGTATTTAAAGGAATACAATTAAAATATAACACCTTAAAATTAAATGTTTTATTAAAGAACAAAAGTGTAATACTGAGAGTTTTTAGAAATAAAGTCAGGGTTTGAATTCCATCCCATAACACTTTTTAGCTCTTTAAAATTTCTGAAGCTCACCCATTAAATGAGGATGATATCTATAACTAACAGGGGTATGTTCATGGTTAATATGCATGAACTTCTGTATGTACAAGTTTCTAGTATAGTTACATTTTCTACCTGAAAAGTGACAGAGAGCTGTGCCAGTGTCCAGCCCCAGAAAAATACATCCTAGCTCAACTTACTAGGTTAAAGGTACTTTCACTGTCGTTTGCTGATATGGATAAAAGGACCATTTGCATTTTCTTTTAAGACTTTTCCCTCGTCATCATTGATGAATGCCATCACACCAACAAAGAAGCAGTCTATAATAACATCATGAGGCGTTATTTGAAACAGAAGTTGAAAAACAATGCTCTCAAGAAAGAAAACAAAGCAGTGGTTCCTCTACCTCAGATACTAGGACTCACAGCTTCACCTGGTGTTGGAGGGGCCACAAAGCAAGCCAAAGCTGAAGAACACATTTTAAAAGTAAGTCATTAACTTTATCTATTGCCAGTAAAACCAAAGCGAAAACAAATACCAACGTTCCATGTGCTTTTTCATTAAAGCTTTGTCCAAGTGCCGTGGAGTATAAGTGAAATCTATCTGCTCTAACTAAAAGAAATATACATAATGCTCTACAAAACTGTAATATGCCTCAATAAATAATAAATAATATAAATAAATAACTTAGAACACTGTCATAAAACTGAAATGCCTTCTTTTCAACAATTCTTATATTTAAAGTTGATGATCTATTTGATGTAGAAATATGCATGAACTATGAGAGTTTCTAGTTTTCACACATGATAAAGTGTTATTCCATGAGTTTCAAAATTAGATGTTTTTTACTGTGTCTTTTCTCTTCTAAGTGATCCTCAGATTCTGGGTAAGTCAAATTAACTGGGAAATGGAGCTATGCTACAGTTAAAGATGTATTGCTTTTCTGCTGGTGATGGTAACACCATCAGGGTGCTGCTGTTGATCTCAAATGTTAAATGGATTCAATGTAATAGAAGAATGGCAGCATCAGGGCAATTACTTTTGTCTTTAAGTCTCTTCCTTTAAGTTGAACTCAGTAACAATCATGCCCAATAGAGACAACATGCAAAGGCTGGATTATTGGCTCCAAGATAAAATTTATTACCAAGATTAAGGACTACCTTCAATCTAGAGGCAGCCACATGGGCATCTGCTGCTTCCTTCCTTAGGGATAGAACAAGATGGCAGTACGATCCATAGATGTCAAGATGGCCTTTAATATGATAACATAATAATATTATAAGATATCACAGACATATACCTTATTCTCTGCCTGTCATGGCAAGTTACTATATATTGTCCATGTTGGGTTTTCTAAATAGGAAATGGAATTTCAGAAATGAAAAGAAATGCCTTTCTTTTCAGAATTACCCATCAGTTTGATTTAGAAGCTCTCCTAATAGTGAAAAATATTATTAGCTAAACAGAGCCAAGGAAAAACAAGAAAAATGCTGTATTTAGCAAATAACACTACATCCTTCTTACATGAAAAAGAATTCTATATTGAATCAGTTAAACTGGAAAATTAATTATTTCAGTGTTAAAAATGTCTTTATCTAGATATGTGCCAATCTTGATGCATTTACCATTAAAACTGTGGAAGAAAATATTGATGAACTCAGAGACCAAATAAAGGAACCATGTAAGAAATTTGCAATTGCAGATGTCACCAGAGAAGTATGTACTTACATTTTTGTATTTATTTGATTGGTGATACCATACTCAATTGAAAAATGATAAAGCCTATTTTATACTGACCACCTGAAGAATATTATTGTAAAGTTGTAGCAAGAAAGTTATAGTTTGATTCTTTTCTATTGATACTAGGCAACAAAGCACTCCTATGTATTTTCTCCATCCTTTTACTTTTATAGTTTGTATGAAGTAGAGAGTAGCTCAGTAATTGTTTGACGACATATGAGTTGTTGAGAGAAGCAGGGACTGTACACCTGATTAGAGCAATTACCATGGTTCTTTTTACCCTTTTCTACTTTTTACTTTCTTGGTAAATTGCAAGATTGCTTTTCTGACATAACACACTACCAAAATCAGAAACATTTTGTTGCTACCAGATTATAGTTGGCAATGATAATGAGAATCCTACCTAATTTGCATATTTGCATATTTACTTTCTAAGGAAAATACTGACATGGTAAAGAAATGAAATATTTACTTTAATGGTGTCTTTGCAATGAATATTTTTACTGAGTATAAACACTGACTAAGAGTCAACTTGGACATTATGACTAGTACATTTTGTCATTATTTTTCTTTTGTAAAATTTTTAAAGTGTGCTCAATTTAACTGTATGTACTTGATAATAAGTTTGTTTAATCATTGAAATCTACCTCATAAGCATGTTAAGATTAAACAATATAAGATATATGCTCTGGATAATATTATGCTTGATATGTAAGAGGCACTAACCCAGTGTTAGTGAACAGCCACCCTAATATTTTTGAAATTTGGAAGAAGAGAATTATCTGTTTCACCTGAACTAGTTCATTTGAATATACTAATTCATCTTTACTTTATGTTACTTACTCAGTTTTACGTGATTAATTTAAATTCTTGTTTCTATTCATAATCATGAAAATATATCCTACATTTTCAAAGAAGAATTTGCCATCCCATTCTTTAATTTATTTAATTTTTTAATAAACGTTTTATTAAAGTATAACATACATGCAGAAACATAAAAAATTATAAGTATATAGAGCATTGACTTTTCATAAACTGAAAAGACCTGTGTATCCAAAATCAAGATCAAGAGACAGGAGATTAACAGCATCCCAGAAGAAGCCCCTGGTGATCTCCTTCCAGTCACCATCCTTAGACGGGGGCCACTAGCCTGACTTCTAACACCAAACATGAGTTTTGACTGATTTTGAGCTTTATGTAAATGGAATAAGATAGTATATACTCTTTTGTGAGAGCTCTGGTGGCATAGTGCCTAAGGCACTTGACTGCTAACCAGAAAGTTGGTGGTTTAAACCCACCAGCCACTCCTCAGAAGGAAGATTGGGCAATCTGCTTCCATAGAGATATCACCTCGGAAACCCAAGGAGGGGTTGCTATGAGCTGGAGACAACTTGACAGCACATAACGACAACAATAACAACATACTCTTTTGTAGCTGACTTTGTTCAGAATTTCACCTCTCACGTTATTTTAGTAGAAATAATACTGGAACCAGTTCTTCAAAGAGAAGCATTTTTTTTCAAACTAGATTGTGTCTTTCCTGAATAATTGACATTAGTGCATACTTTTCAAATATCCAAGCTTTATATCATTCATTACCTTTACATTTTAAAACTTTTAAATTGAAAATTCCAGCAGGAATACATGATGTTGGTGTGGGTGTGGCTTGGGGGTGGAGGTAAAAGAGATGCTAACAAAAATAAATACAAAGAGGTTATCAAAGGTTTTCCTTTCTTTAGGAAAATATTCTAAATTAGATTTATTGTAGCATGGTATTATTTTTAGGAAGATAATATTACTCCTTTAACAATGTAAGTATGTAAAACTAAGTGTATAATTTATTTTTAGGATCCATTTAAAGAAAAACTTCTAGAAATAATGACAAGCATTCAGACTTTTTGCCAAATGAATCCAATGTCAGATTTTGGAACTCAACCCTATGAACAATGGGCCATTCAAATAGAAAAAAAAGGTAATTTGAGTTTTGCCCCAACACTTATTTTAGTCCATGTTTGTGCCAAGATTTCAGTTGACTGTGTCCCATGTTTCTAAGCAGATTGGAAGGAAATGGAATATCTGTGCTCCAAACAGGATAAGGATAAGTATGCTCTAATTCCTTATCTAAGGTTTTCCCTGGCCAATTCTTTCAGAAGTGGACGGCCTCTTCCTTCTTCCTAGTCTGTCTCAGTCTATAAACTGGGCTGTTACCTATGCACCAGGTGCATCTCGCTGGGTTTTAAACACCAAAGGCTCAGCCTCAAAACTCACGTCTACATGTCACCACAGTAGGACAA